GAATAGGCAAATCAGGACTGAAGGTAAATTTTCTAAAAAAAGAAATGCTATGGAGATAAGTATCCAAGTTACGGTGACAAGTGAATGTGCATAAAAATGAAATAAAGGCTGATTTCTGCATTAAGCAGAATTGGTATCATATTTTCAAGATGTCGCTATTATCAGTATTAGATCAAGCTTTAAAGATGTGGAGTTAGATGACTAGACATGATTCATTATTTTATTATTAAATGGCAGTGAAAATGTAGTATAACTAGAATAGGAAAGAATTAGATTCAATCATTGAATATAGCAGTTTACTATATTAATCATAGATAGTTCACATAAAATCATAAAAAAAGCATGTTTGTAATGAGGGGCCCTAATAATCCACCTTGAATTTATTTCGCAATAGAGGTCATCATTTTAGATGAGTACAGCTCTAACTCCACTACTTGCAGAGACTAGCACAGAAAAATAATGGATTTATTAAATAGTCCTATAAAACACTCAACTTCATGTTATAGCCTATAATAATGTCTCCAAATAGAGTTTCTTCTGATGAGTCTAAATAATCTCAAAAGTCTAAGTTTGCCTACCATTATGACTGGTTTCTTGGATAGCCGATTAAAATTTAAATCATGTAAAATAAATAAATAAACAGAAGGTATGAAGACCAAGATGGTTGTGGTCTTCTTTCGTTGTATAGAAGTTGTTTGACCTTGTTTACGTAATTTGTTCATATTGGCATGAAGATCTAGAGGAACCCACCTTGTCCAGAGCCCATAGTATGCATGATATTTTCAAGAGTCAAACTGTGGACTTGGTACATCCACAGACGTTTCGCCGGCATCGTCGGTAAGCCTTGTCATTCTTGGCGCTACACTCTTGCCAAAGAGACAAGAGAAGTTGATCCATTGACCAATTGCCAATTAAACAGTTGTAGTATCCCTCATTCTGTTCTGGAGATATCCTCGTTATAGGATAGGTGAATAATTCAGAATAGGAGAGATACCACAACTGTTTAGCAGACAATTAATCAAAGGATCGATTTCACTTGTCCCTTTGACGAGTTGCAGTGTGGTGCTAACAATGACAGGGTTCAATGACGATGTTGACTACGATACCGGCGAAACGTCTGGGAATATACCACGTCCACAGTCATACTATGGAAATTATCATGCATAGTATTTTTGAGCGTTTCTCCAGGTTTTCCTGCCAATATGACCAAATTGGAAAGTACAGTCAAACAATTCTAGATAAACAGAGTTTAAGCCTAAAGACCCAAAGGAAAGTTAGAGGAATCAAGACTAACTAACCAATAATTAAGCTCAATGCAAAAATACACAAAGAAGAACCTGATGAAAATAGCTTCGTTTTTATCTTCCTCCAACGTAATTGAGTCAATTTCGAGGCTATCAAACGAATGTTGTTCCCTGCTTGAATCAAGAGAGGCGCCGACTTCAGAGCCATCTCTTGTTTCCTGACCAGAGTCTGTGAAGTTAAATAGTGAATGTGAAGGCGATGATGGCATTGGGATCCGATGTGGTGGTGCCTGCACGTTGGAGATAGAAAATGTGGAAGAATGGGCCTGCTCATTCAAAACTGCAGATGAACCCGAGGAGATGTGGAAGCCAGTCTGTGAAGGAAGCTTCCCGGAGATATTCGGTGCCTGAAGTGATGTTGCTGCAAGAGCTGTGGAGAAGGAAGAAAGGAGAGCAGCCTCGAGAGCGACTGTGACAACTGCCTGTTCCTCCATGCAGCACACAAAAAAGTTTCGAAATTGTTGAAAGAACACCACAGTGTTCTATGCAGAACGAAATACAGATTAGTAAAAAACAAAGAAATAAAGGAAGATGACCGATAAATATGAGCTTGAGCAGAAGTCAGAAAATTAACCCTTAAAATGAGTAGTTAAAGTGAATTCTTCAAAGGATTTGATTTAATAAACGAATGAATAAGCATCTATAACCATTCAGATGAAAATAAAGTAGAGTATACCCGAAGAAGCGGATTAAAAGATATGGTAATTACTATGCTTTGGTTTGGACGCTGAATAAGCGCAGCTATTGACGGTACTAGGACGAAGATATGAGGGGCGTAGCATGAAGTGTGAGTAGCACGCGAAAAAGTGGCTTGACGATGCTGAGCAAAAGAGGCCAGATGAGTCCCTAGCTTGAGGAAAGACCCACCTGTCTCTTAGACTAGGGCTTATTTTGTAACAGTATTCTGTGGTTGATACAGAAAGAGCGTAGGCTCTGCGCACTGATATACATTAAAAGAGATTGAGATTCACCTAAAAAGATTTATACAAATTACCTCTTTCACATCACCCAAAAATAAAAAAGTAGTACAAAGAAAATTGAAGCTAACTTGATCCAAGTTGATCTGAATCGGCTGTATGGACAATTTAGCTTCTGCTTCAGTGCCAGCTGTGAAGTGTCGGTAGGGTGGCGACCTTCGCTGCCCAAAATCACTGTAAGAATCGACAAACCCGGGCATCTCAGGAGCAGAGCTACTGTGGCCAAGCGCTCCCCTCGGAATTGCCCGATCCGACGTAGGTTTAGAGATTTTTGTGTCCGAAATGGGGCGGCAAGCTGCGAGAAAAAAGCATGGTTAAAGCAGCGGAGTGGCCCATATAGCAAGAAATAGGAGAGAAACAGTGTTCGTAATCACCACAAGGCTTTGTGTTTGATAATAAAAAAAGAATTACTCGATGCTATTTGCCTGATAAAAGATAGACATCATATTTCAGGTCAAGCAGAATGGGGATTCCTTAGCAGGATAAGCCAAGACATAAAATCATACCAAATTATGATATTTGTTATGCGCCAGGGGGCATTATAAATAAGATCATAGGGACTGTGGCCACCTTGGAGATCTAAACAAAAATAGCTAATCCATTGGCATCATTATGAATTGAAAGACTTTTTCCTTTTTTATAAGATCGCCCTAGTATAATAGAGCAATTAGCTTAATGTATGTACAGTAAAGCACATTAAAAAAAAGCAAAAATATTAATAACCAGCATTATGATGATGAAAATAAGTGACTGGACTCGGAAG